GCTTCTTCTGTTTCTATATTTAGGCTTCCAAACGACACAATACAAAGACAGAAGTGCTTACAGTTCAATATTAATTATGTTCCAGAGAATTATAAAATACATAGCAAGCATGATGTGACAAAACAGCTCCAGAATCTCTCCCAGTTCAGTGCTGGATTGGGTTAAAATCTCCGCAAAGAAAGAGCAGCTCCAACAAGCAGCAGCTGTAGCCTGTGAGTTTTTATTTGTTAAAATTGATCATGGCATGCACAGTGTCTTGCCTTTACGGTATGTTGTAGCAAAGATGTAAACAACTGGCAATGCTGACTGGCACCGCTAACAATGTAGCTACAAATTCATATTTATCAGAGCATCAGAGAAAAATAAAAATAAACATCAGCCCCGTGCACATGTGCTTCTCGTGTTACACACATCTACAGACTGTTCACAAACACACACACACATAGACACACACAATGGCGATCTTTCTTAAAGGAGCCGCACCCCATTTTCACTCGTTACAGACACTTGTCAGATTTTATTTTAGAGACCGGGCATGAGATTTACTTACTGTTTACACAAAAAGCGCATGCTTGTATGGGCGTGACTTGAAGCCCATCCGCGAATCGCAGCACATTATGACAGATGACCAATCAGAGTCGCTTGAGGGCGGGGCTTTCAGAGGAACTAGTAAATATGACAGTGCTTTTCATGTTAGCTGAGTAGCTGTATATGATCAAAGTAAGATTTATGAAAAAATAACGTGATTTCCTTCAAGTGAAACATGAGCACACCTTGCTTTGCATCTTATAAACACAAGCAAGCCTTAAAATTACATTCTGGACCACCCCTTTAAGGCGCATTGTTGGCGTGTTTCTATTTTGAGGAACTGAAATAGACTTGCGGCATTGACTAACTATAATCTGGTCTAAAGTCCAGCGCAGAAAATGTAAGTTATGTGCCTATACACACACACACACACACACACACACACACACACACGATTAACACCTTGCACACACCGTTGATTGCTGTGACGTAACATTTCTGTAGTTGACCCTGCCCTACTTCATTAGAGCCTATAATTAAACAGCTAATACCCAAACACACACACACACACACACACACACACACACACTTGTGTATGATGCACACTGCCTGCTTTGTTTATTCTGCCACCATTGTGCATAATTTAAGGCTCTCGCCCACATCCTCAAGTACCGTGAAATGCTCTCATTAATAAACACACAACCTGCTTTAATGCTGCCGTTGAAGTGTGTGTGTGTGTGTGTGTGTGTGTGTGTGTGTGTGTGTGTGTGTGTGTGTGTGTGTGTGTGTGTGTGTGTGTGTGTGTGTGTGTGTGTGTGTGTGTGTGTGTGTGTGTGTGTGTGTGTGTGTGTGTGTGTGTGTGTGTGTGTGTGTGTGTGTGTTTGTGTCACTTGCTCTGAGCAAATGAAATCTAAAGGCCAAATTAATCCATCTAATCATCTCACAATTAAACAGACATTGTTCCCTCTGCTAATTTAGCCAATCTCCTCTCTCTGTCTGTATCAGGCACCGTCCCTTCAGATGTTTAAACAGTGAATGTTCCTCGCTGCTGGCTTATTGTTTAACACTTTTATAGGTTGTTGAATTTGACCCAGTAATAAATATTTAAACATGCTAATTGATTGCAATGGTGGTCGTTGAATAATTGCAACTTCTGGGCTACAATCCAAAGTTGTTTTTGTTGTTTTAACAGAAAAGCATTAGAGTAATTTGCGACCCTGGACCACAAGACCGTCTTAAATTGCATGGGTTTATTTTTAGCAATAGCGGAAATGACATTGTATAGTGCTCAGGATAAACAAGTACACAGATATCAGATCTCTCTTTTAAATGAATATTCTCTGTAGAAGGCTTTACATGAATATATTTGTGCATTTAAGATTAGTCACTACCATAGCCAAAACTGAAACTAGTCTAACAAAAAAACTCAAGATCACAGTCCAAAATTGAGTACACCTAAATTAATATGTTGGGGAAAATCATGAAATAAAATTGTATTAAACTTAAAATATTAAATTAAAAATATTAAATTAAATAAAAGTTTTGTAGTTTTTGTTTTGTTTTATGCATAAAATCAAAAACTCAGAAAAAAATTAATTTAATTGTATTTTTTTTTTTTATTCCTAAATAAGTTTGACCAAAGTCTTATTTTAATGAATATATGTTTATCAAAACAGTGTTGCTTAAATGTATCATGATGTATTGTCTATATTCGCTGAGAAATGGATCAAAATATTCATTTTCAAAAGGGTGTGTACTCATTTATACTGAGCACTGTATGGGTCAAAATTTATTGATTATTGATTCAACTTTTATGCCGAAACTCATTAGAATATTAATAATATTTTGTAAACTTCCTACAGTACATATATAAAAACTTACGTTTTGATTAGCCATATGCAATGCTAACAATTTAATTTGGACACATTTAAAATGTGACTCTCAATATTTAGATGTTTTAATTTATTTTATTATATTTTATTAATTATATTTTATTATATTTTTAAATAGTTATTTTTTAGTTGTTACAACGCCTCAAAATTGTAACATAAGAGAGACAATGCAGACCAGGTAAATCATAAAGAGAAATGATTTATTAATAAAAGTTATAATTAACAAATATATAGTGCATCCGGAAAGTATTCATAGCGCTTCACTTTTTCCACATTTTTTATGTTAAAGCCTTATTCCAAAATTGATTAAATCTATTTATTTCCTCAAAATTCAACACACAATAGCCCATAATTTTAATGTGAATAAAGAGTTTTTGAAATTGTTGCATATTTATTAAAAATAAAAAACCTGAAAAATCACATGTACATCAGTATTCACAGCCTTTGCCATGAACATCTACATTGAGGTTCATTCTTTTTTCCACTGATCATTCTTGAGATGTTTCAGCAGCTTAATTGGAGTTCTCCTGAGGTAAATTTGCTTGATTGGACATGATTTGAAAAGGCATACACCTGTCCCAGGGTTGACAGTGCATGTCAAAGCATAAACCAAGTATGAAGACAAAGGAATTGTTTGTAGACCTCTGAGTCAGGATTGCCCTGACGCACAAGGCTGGGGAAGGTTACAGAAAAATTTCTGCTGCTCTAAAAGCTCCATAAGTGGAAGATGTTTGGAACCATCAGGACTCTTCCTAGAGCTGGCCAACCATCTAAGATGAGTGATCAGGGGAGAATGGCCCTTGTCAGGGAGGTGATCAATAACCCGATGGTCATTCTGTCTGAGCTCCAGTGTTCTTCTGTGGAAAGAGGTGAACCTTACAGAAGGACAACCATCTGTGCAGCAATCCACCAATCAGGCCTGTATGCTAGAGTGGCCAGACTGAAGCCACTCCCCGCCTGAAATTAGCCAAAAGGCATCTGAAGGACTTTCAGACCATAAGAAACTAAATTCTCTGGTCTGATGAGATTAAAATTGAACTCTTTGGAGTGAATGCCAGGCGTTATGTTTGGGGAAAACCAGGCACCGCTCATCACCAGGCTAATACCATCCCTACAGTGAAGCATGGTGGTGGCAGCATCTTGCTGTGGGGATGTTTTTCCGCAGCAGGAACTGGAAGACTAATCAGCAATATCATCTGTGCATGATATTGGACTAAGTTCATGATCCAAAACAAAATAAAATAATCAAAACATTAGGCAGAAAGGTGCGGCTAATCAAGCTCTCCTCATGTCAAATGTTGAACTCTTTATAGGCGCCACATAATGAGTCTCTCAGGTGAGATGACCCACCGACAAAGCAGCAGATTCTGCAAATCACAAAACACAACCAAAACAACCAAGTCTATACTAATCTGCATCTGCTAATCTGGTCTAAAAACGCTGTCCACACTATTGTTTTCAATTCCTTTTAGTCATCCACACTAAAATGACTGAAAAAGCTTTCATTCAGTTTTGCGCATGTGCACAGATGTAAGACACTTTTACCTGCGTCATATCCGGCTGCCCTTTATTTACTTTCCATCTCTTTGAAATGTTGTGGGAAAATGCTTCCCCCACTGAACAACAGCTCGCTGTAAACATTCCATGTCCTTTGAAGAGAGGCAATATGGAGCGTCTACAAACTGACATTAATCTTTAATAAAGCAATGAACAGCATTCAAAACATCTGCTATACAACGTCCTCCACCATGTTAGCTCAATTGGTCACGTGTCATCGTTTTCGAAAGCCTCCGTGTTTACACTTTACATTGTAACACGAAAACAGCATTTTCAGATGCATCCGCTTTGCATATTCATTCATTCATTCATTCATTCATTTTCTTTTCGGCTTAGTCCCTTTATTAATCTGGGGTTGCCACAATGGAATGAACCGCCAACTTATCTAGCATGTGTTTTATGCAGCTAATACCCTTCCAGCTGCAACCCAGCACTGGGAAACATCCATACACACTCATTCACACACATACACCAAGGACAATTTAGCTTACCCAGTTCACCTACAGCGCATGTCTTTGGACTTGTGAGGGAAACCGGAGCACCCGGAGGAAGCCCACTGGGAGAACATGCAAACTCCACACAAAAATGCCAACTGACCCAGCCCAGGCTCGAACCAGTGACCTTCTTGCTGTGAGGCGAACTGTGTAGCCTCCACTTTGGATAGCGTTTTCAAAAAGATGCATTTTGAGCCACAAGTTCTCGCAAGTGAGGCTCCACCCTCTTTATTTCAGCATCTCATTTGCATTCAGAGGGACACAAAAGAAAATGATACTTTTGCTTTCACCTAAAGAAAGGCAATTACAACATAGCGTGATAAATGATTCGTGTGGTATTTTGAGCAGAAACCTCACAGACACACACTGCAGACACCTGAGAAAGTCTTTAGATCCGAGTTAAAGTGTGTTTACTGGATGATTTTTAAATTTAAGGTGATATTACAGCTCGTCTGTTTGATTTCTGAAATGAAATATAGTCATAATTATATGAATATATCTTTATTTGTGTGTGTGACACAATTGACAGAAAGCAGAAGAATGGGAATGCTGGAAAGAGTGAATCCAGATCAGAAAGTGAATCAGGCTCTGGGAGTTCGTCGTCTGAAAGCTCGTCTGACTCCGGATCGGAATCGGGATCGGAACTGGAGTCGGATTCAGACTCGGGAACAGATCAGAAGAAAAACACCAAGTCTAAACCTGTTCAGTCCAAACCTGTCGTTAAGGTGAGATTGAGAAAAAAAAAAAACATATTCTGCTAAGAATTTTTGCTCTGTGTTATATATATGCATCCGTGTAAATGTAACGCTTGTGTGCGTTTTCAGCAGGTTGAGAAGAAGGAAGTGTCTTTGCTTGATCTGGATGACTGTAAGTTTCTTTCTATATAGAATAATTTCTGTGTTCTCCTTGATAATTGAACAAAATAGTGTGCTTTAAAAGGATTTTATACTGATAAGTAATATGACTTTTTTTTTTGTGTGTGTACATGCATTTATAATCGTATATACACTCACCGGCCACTTTATTAGGTACACCTTACTGTCCCGGTTGAGCCCTTTTGCCTTGAGAACGGCCTTAATCCTGCATGGCATAGATTCAACAGGGTACTGGAAATATTCCTCAGAGATTTTGGTCCATTTTGATATGATAGAATCGCGCAGCTGCTGCAGATTTGTCGATTTGTAGCCCATTTACCTCAGGGGTGGATGTGTTGTGCGTTCAGAGATGCTCTTCTGCATACCTTGGTTGTAACGAGTGCTTATTTGAGTTACTGTTGCCTTTCTATCAGTTCTAACCATTCTGGCCATTCTCCTTTGACCTCTCGTATCAACAAGGCATTTGTACCCACAGTCTACATGCCTGTGTAAGAATTGAAATATTGCAAATATTCTGATATCTTTGACAATTCAAAACATGAGCTGAAAACAGAGACTGGTGACTTCACAACCCACCAGGGAGGAATGCGGGAAAAACCAGTTCCTGCTGCATTTGCATCTGAGTCTGCTTCATCCCCCTAACTCACACATATGGTCATTTCAATGTTTGAATGTTCTAGAATTAACCAAACTGACTTTAACTATCATGTTTGATATCATTTGAAATGTCTCAGTGCGATTGGTACAATGGTCTCATTCTCTCAGAAATAGACATAATCAGAACAATAAATATATAACTTCAGGCATCTTTTGAACCACTGTGAGGGGTGTGACACTAAGTGTGAATGCCTTTTGTTATACATTCACACCCCCTTTCTTGAGGGAATTCTCGGATTATTTAAGGTAAGGGCTAAGAAAAGCTCAAGGCGATTCTGCCTAACCAGATCAGCCCATAACATGGGGTCTGCCCCATGTTATGTATATTTCAAAGTCAGGAATGCATCTTTTTTATCTTGGATTTATCTTTGATAATTTGATGTTTTGTATTGATCATTTATGAATTGACTGATTGAATTGGCATAATACATTTACCTGACTAATAAATTGTTATGTTTTGAATGATTCAAACAGAGTTCGTGTTATTATCTTTAGTAGATTGTGGTAATTTCATAGCACCACAAGCCCCTGTTCAGGTTAGTAGCGGACTAGAACACGGTAGACGGAGCATTGCGGCACGTTACACGATGTCTCTAGAGCTCCGACTAACAAATTGGCATTTATTCATGTATACTTAGGCTGTAAAAGGATATCTAAGGGGATAGTCCTTCACCCGATAAACTTTTAATACTATTTAGATAGTATAGTGATTATTCAAAGTTACTACTAGTTTAAGTACGACTGGTCTGCTTAATTCTATAGTAATGATCGTTATATGACTAAATAGCTCTGTCTGATTTAGGAGGTAGCAGACCTATGGGGACCGCATAAAAAATATCCTAATCTGAGTAAGTAGGGTTCTGCCTTTTTAGGATAGCGGTCAATCGCCCCTGTTTAGTGACCAAGACTGACATGCTTGTGCTTAAGAAATTGTATACTCGGCCGGTACAAGATTCAGGATGTTATAGAGATCCCAATGAACGAGAATAACATAAAATGATGAACCGAAGAGAATATTCAATCATAATCTAAAATAATGTGAAAGGAAACAAAATAACCTTCTCAATGTTTTATAATTGGAGTCAGATAAAACGAGGATAAACATATTAATATTCTAAACCATCTCATACTAAAATTGGAGTCAGATATGAGTTAAGTTTAATATAAATAACATTGTGCACTGGAAAGACCGAACATGCAGTGAACCTTCATCCACCATTGGATACCGTCATTGGACCAACTGGCTGGACCTTACAAAATGGTGACCCATCTCCGTGATCTCCCAACTCAGGCGAGTTACGTCTTTCCAGCACAAAATGGATTTATATCAACCAAGAGGTTTGGATCTTCTATTCTATCTTCAGCTGCTGTGGTAAGTCAATTCTTCTTTGCCTATTAGAAATGTTGAGGGAAAGCTGGACGCACACTATATAAACACATTGATAGAATGAGTCGGAAATGCTCAAAAATGTTAGACCGGAATGCATTATCCGGTGGGGTTGAGAATTAGACAAAACCACTTTGATTATCAGGGACATGATAGCAGCATTATAGATAAATGCCATCCCTTGCTCTGAAATCTCTTTGTCTGCTAGGCAGCAAGAGTTGAAGCTTAAAATTGGAATAACATCATCCAAATTATATTCTGGGACTCAGTGGAGAGTTATAAATTAGATCCTAAAAGTTTAAATCAAAAACTATCATTGTTTTAAATCTACTGTTTTATAAAAAAGAGAAAAATGGAAAAAAGGAAAACAGGAAAAAATGGCTTAAGATTTAAAAACAATTGTAAACTTTTAAATTGGATTAATAACAACAGTCTGTTTAAAGGCATTTGCATGTGAAAAATAAAGGTGAGCAGAACAGAATGATTTGATTGCAAAAAAGACAAATAAGCTCTAATGAAAACTCTGCCTTTACAAATCAGAAATTTGCCATTTAAATTTAATGGGGATAAATTCAAATATGATGCTGATCAACTAAAATATCCACTATACTTTAATTTAATCTCGAAACAGACTAAATATAAAAGATTTTAGCTTTAAATAAGCCCTTAGACCTCCTGATTGCTCAAACCTTTTCATATTCAAATGTCCTGACAGAGAGCAGAGAAATCTCACCTAAGTGATAAAAAGATGCTCAGAATGTGTTTGCTGTAATTGCATAAAACAATTACATTCTTCCATTTGGCCATAAGCCTTTGCTGACCCTTTTGTTCTCCATGCAACTTACAAGCAAACACAACCCTGATCACAAGATAAAAGCATTAAGCTAAAATGCACTGCCATTCTAAAAACACTCTCCAGAGACCAGATATAATTATATTTAATACATACTATTTTAATATAATATAATTACATTAGGAATAAACAATAATGAACATTATATTATAATCGCCAATCATGGCACTAAAGACCAAGGGTGAAACATTCACCTTGAGGAGGTTTGCTTTCTTTATGCTTAATGAAAACACTGACAGAACTACTATAGCATAACTGATTGTAAACCAATAAAATCCTCGCTGAAAAACACCACCTACAATTAAAATTTGATCAGAGAATTAAACTCACCAGAAAAATAATGAAAGGGGGATGGATATGATAACATTCAGAGTTACCAAAGTTTTTATGGGTCAAAAGATCTAACCTGTGAGTCACACCATAAAATGACAACCGTTAAGCAGAGAACACCAAAAGGGTGAAATGATTTCTGCCAACAGATCTGACTGTTAATGAGAGCAAAAAATGAACTATGGGTATCGGCCTATTAGATTGTGAACTGAAATTAATGAAAAATCATTGATTGATTCAGAAAAATGTCCCCAGCGGAACTGGGAGATAATGCTCAGAATACAGCAGACTGTGTAAACAGGTGTTACACACTCACAATATGCTGAAATCAACAACAGCAATTCACATCTGACCAGCAACATCATGTGGCTTCCAGAATTAATATTGCAAGATGATGCATTAACATTAATTCCACATGATTGAATTTGAAACTGATGAAAATTCTAAAAATGGTTCTCTCTGCTTTTGTTCTCATCTTAGGCGGACCAATAACAAAGAACACTCCAGATCCGGTCCACATCAAACAAATACAAATGAGGGCAACAAAAGGTTAAGCCATAGCCTGAGGCCAAAAGTCTCCCATCTTGCATCTCAAAGCAAGAACCCCTGTGGTGCTAACACCTCACCTGCAGTGAGTCCTCTGAAAAAAGTCTTTGATCAGTCATCAGAATAACAATTATCCACAGCTGATCTTATCAATGGATTCAGCATTCTAGGAGGCTATGTGATTTCGCAAAACATCTTTCTTCAACAAAGATGTAAATTTACATGTTAAATGAAACAGAGACACAAAAAGA